TTGTTGTTTGCCTTAAAAAAATGTGATCTTATGACGATTATACTTAAAGGATGTCGAAGTACGTTGCCGACGCAGCCATTTGCAACTATCGTTCAGTTATTATAAGTAAAATTTTACGCATTTATTTTATATATGCATAGTCCTGGTAATTCGAAAGGAGTTTTGTTACGTCTATGCCATACTACAATTTGACAAGTATTGTAACTCTGTACAAAGTAACAGCGCTGCTTGTATATGTGCGCGCACACATTCATTCACACGTTCGCGTTGCCCGCGCTGTTAGGCTCAATTTATATTGCGGCGGAACAGAGTGGAAGCAAATTTTTGTAACGATATTGTACATAGCAGAACTTTATGGTCAATTGTGTCACGTACAAACTAGATACAAGAATGCTTGCGCTTGCTAGAGAATGCTCGCGCATTCCGCGGAAGATTTTGGCTCGTATCTAGGTTGTACGTTACTCAGTTGAACATGAAGTGCTATGTACGAATATCACTACAAAAATTCGCTTTGATTCCGTTCCGCCGCAATATAAATTGAGCCTTACTTTCTACGGAGTAACCATATTTCTTTTACTATGTCTATGCCGTCTTTTATTGCTTGTAACACTGAAATTTAACCTAAATGCTAAATATCCATTGGCAAAGGTAAGCAGGCAAGTCGGCTGCGCCCGCAATGCGTATGAAAGAATATGCCTTGTATAATGATAACAAATGATTTATGTAATATAATAAGACTTGACAATGTGCGGTGTACGGCCTTTGGGCCGTTGTCAATTGGATACAGTGTAAAAAGGGGTGTGGGCTTTGGCCATTTGGCTACACAGGTTGACAACTTAGCATTGAATACCCTGCGAAATCTGCGAGGGCGCGTTTGGTGAAAAATGTATGACGTAAACAAAAGTGTATGTTTACGAGATTCCTGAATTTTCTTTTGTAGCTCTGTTATTATCGGGTGTGCTGTACGTACATTCTCTGCTAATTTGTCAAGTCTAATGATTATATTTTTCTTTCTGGAATTATTACTATATGATGATCATTGGCACTAAAGCTCACGCCGCTGAGAAAGAAAAATAATAAAAAAAAACTTTTTTATAAATCGTAAGAAGTTCTTAGTTCCACAATAATTAAAAAAATATATGTAAATTTTTTCTTATCTTAGTAAGTAAAAGATCTCATATGTCATATTTTTTGTTTTGTCTTTTTTATATTTTGAGGAACTTCGGAATAGTCGAGTTGATTTAAAGACAACCTATGTAATATAAAATATATTGATGTATATAACAAATTTGTTTTATTTATTTGAAATCCAATAATTAAATTCAATGTTTTTATTCAAATCATGTCAATACACAAAATAGAAATACTTATTTCTATTTACAGGAATATCTTACATCTTACAAAAGAAAAAATGTAGTGATTTATTTTTATAGAATAAAAAAATAATTATTATCTCATACGTCATAACGCCAGCTAGTGTTCGCAAACTATTTCCGTGGCAGTTTTTATTTATATAAGTTATTCGGGTATGGTATTGTGAAATATATAAATGTTACACGATAATATGACCCACCCACACATATACAAATGCGTACTACGCCTTACTAAAATTTATTCGGGGTGAAAATCGATCGTGTACACGAGTCTTCCAGTCAAAGCTGGCGTGACAGACAACTGCTTTTTATTGCGTGCCTTATTCCAGCGTTACCCTGTGGCTCAAGGTTTCTAAATTTTACTAGTCCGGTAATAAGGGGGGCTTCAAATTAGACTCTTATAGCAGCGCTGCAGTGGTGCTACTAATAAATTTCATAAGCGCAGTTGCAGCGCCATTGGTGTCGTGACACTCGCAGTCGCAATTTGTGAACCAGAAGGTCGCGTCCTGTTTTTCAATTACAACTACAGCACGGCGATGCGCGACGACACTCGCATTAGTGCGCCCGGATCACAGTGGTAGGCGTCTAACGCCTCATTGCGCTCAATTTTTAATGTTTCCATATTTGTATGACACAAATTTGTACCTTAATAATGGGAAAATAGAGATATATATGCTATAGGAGAAAAACATGACCTGTTGCGACGCTTCGACTCTGCGCCATTGTGAGTTAAGCCTAAGTCGTCATCTAGTAATCGTTGTCGTAAAACAGATTTAGTCGGTCCGCCGTTGTTTTATAATAATAATAAAATGTTTATTTATTTATAAATGATTGGTGGAATAATTATTTAACCATTTTATTAACCGAAAATTATTATTTCGTCTTCACTGAAAATGTGTTTTCACACGTCTGGTTAAAACCTGAGCGGAGATCATTTTGGTAACATTTTAAATGTAATTCTTTTATTTTGTTTTATCCTAAGGTTATTTTATGTTTTGTTATCATTCTATTTTTAGTTCTTTATTTCTTTCTATTAACTAATTAATTATAATTAAATTACATTTAAGGTATAACTAAAAAAATATTTAGATTTTGAAAACTGAGTCTTCCCTTAAAAATTATCACGTAGCGCGTACTGTCCTCAATATTGGCCGCTTCGTTCACTTTCATAAGAAAAGGCAAATATCTTTAAATGGCGAAAAAACCTTTTACTCTATTCACGGCAAAAGTACCAGACCTACTACATCGCAAGGGAAGCATTAGCATTGTTATATTTAACTCTAGTACTCATACTCATATATGACTCGTGAGAGTCGTATTCCAGAACTGTACTCAATGCTGCTTGAGCATCGAGCTCAAGTCAGGATTTGAGCAGACTTGAGTATGATTTCAAGCACTGGAAATACGACCCCAATGGCAAGGCCTTGAGTATGATTTTCAGTGCTCACTGCAATACTCAAGTCCTGACCTGAGCATGGAGTACAGTTCTGGAATACGACCCTGAGTCTATCAAAAACTCGCTTGCGATAATGATACCATAGCTGACAGTGTAGAACGCCTGAAAAAATATTGTATGAAAATTATTAGTAGTGCGGCTACTGTTAGGTAATATTCCGAAAAATTTGAAATAGAGGAATTTTTTCCGACAAAAAACCCGAAAAATTGGAAAAATATAATTTTGAAAGCTCATAGTTATGTTCTACGTTTACAAATATCTTTAGAAAGTGTTATTTAGCGTGAATTATAAAATAAACCTGTTTAACTAAAAGGCCCCTAAAGAAAAACTAGATTTAAAATAATTTCACAACAGCGAAAAAAAAAAGCCTTTTATATTGGCTCCCATCGTTCTAGTTCATTAGCCTGATGTATCCCACTGCTGGGCAAAGGCCTCCTCCTGATCCCTCCACGCATCCCGATCTTGAGCAGCGCTTATATAAGCGTCTAATTTGAAGGCGCCCTAAACCCCGAATGGTTATTTTCACTTCAATGAGAACGTGTCCTTTCATGGCTATCATCATAAACCTATTTATACGTCCCACTGCTGGACATGGGTATCCTTTTAGGCAATGGTTTGGTCCAATTTATGGCTATGGTTTATTTATGTGTATTATGCTTACGGTTTTAAAGCTATAAAGGAGTTTTACTATCCTATGCTGGGATAAGCTTATTCCGGCGGCACCATTCTTCAATCTCGAGAACTACAGCATCAATATCATCTATATCAGCATGGCAATAGAGGCAGTTTTATTAAAGCAAAGTAGTTTGTGTGAGGTGAGTTGTGGAGGACCACTCCTCGCGTACCACAACCCGCGCGCTGACAATATGTATAACATAAGAACAGGCGGATATAAGATAGAATTTGACACAGATCTACAACAAGCGCCTGATAGCGACAGACGGCGCAGCGAGTGTGTGGCGTGTTGTGGCAATTTTCAAATTGCGTTTTTTTTACTCTATTTATTTAGGGAATTTCATCGTTACTGAACATGCCACCCCCGTTAGAAAAACAATACCTCAAGAAAACACTTAATAAAATCCAAACAGATAAATCAAAATACTACCTAACCAAACATGTATACAAAATCTCCGCGGCGCTACATGTAGGTTCCGGCAAAACAGATTGAAACCACCCAACTTCAAATGTACGGAAACCAAATGTAAGGACGCCTGTGCAAATAACCGCGCTCTGATAGGCTCCGTCCGAACACACTCATGAATCCCATACACTTCGCAATTCGGTGAGTTCACCCTCCGCATCAAATACCAAAAATTTGTTTAATGGAACGAATCCTATGCGCGCTAACAATTTGACCCCAGCTTAACTTAACATGGTCAAACCAAGGGACACGAGGAGGCTGATTCTGCATAGTCTTGTACCTGATTCCTTTTTCCTGGGACCTCATATCGAAATATTCCTTCCAACGAGAATGGAACGAAATTTTGGGATAAAATAGAGCTTCAGCAAAACAAAAAATTTGCATTTTTTCACAATTTGTCTCACTCTAATACTTAAAGAGTACCATATAAAAATTATGTACAAAGTTAGATATTTTGTTCTTAAATAATTCGTTTTAAAGTTTTATTTTAGCCTGTTTATAATGTACACTAGAACTACAATGGAAAATATTTATTGAGGATCCCGATAATTAAACGAAGACATGGCTCAAAGGGCTTGTATCCAAGCCAAGACCCTTAATAAAAAAAGCCACTGTTATGATTGTACCTGTTTTTAAACCTACCTGTTTTTGTTACAGCCTGTCCTTCCTTTCTTCTTTTCTTCACCTTTTCCCTGTTATACTTCCCCAGTAAATTCATGAGGACCGAACGTATTTCTATCATTATTACCCAAACCCCCACACTGCCGCCCGAACAACTTTAATGGCGGATCGACTAAATCAGTATTGTGGTTAGAACTATTCTAATTTTTGAAACTCGATCAAGGTGACGCTGGGATAAGACACGCTAACTTCTTTACCATCCGTGAAGCAGCAAGTTTCAATCGACATTGGATATTCGTAGATGAAATCGAATACTGTCGTAACTCAAAACCGATAGAATTAGTGTCAAATTTGAAAATTCAAAAATAAAGAATGAACCTTGCGAATAATGGGGACTGTGTTTCTTTATACCTAATAATTAGTTATCCACTTATAAATGAGAATATAAATTTATTGGTGTCATTCAGTAATTTTTTGAACTTTCTTTTCAGTTACTTTTGAGTTACGACAGTATTCGATTTCATGTGCGACGATTACATCTTAAAACAAAAACTGTGTGTAGTCCTGAAGCTATGAAGTCCTTTATTGGCATAATAGGCTTCTATTTTCGTCCCTTCGGACTCGTAGGCCGTGTCACCTCTATTTTTGAATCATTTTTCGATATGATCATTTCTCATAAAATTACAAATACAAAAATGTCACAAAACCACTGCTAAATAGCGCCTCGACCTCTACCTCTGCCCCTGAACCCTCCTCGGCCTCTCGGCCTCTGTCCTTTACTAGTATTGGGTGGGCTTTTTGGCCTCAACGCCTCTATTCTTTCGGTGCATCCGGTGCTCTCTCTGCCCTCGGAGAAGTTTGCGGCGTACAGTTCCGCGTTGAAGTTTGAGTTGGTTAGTTCGTGGCCGATGGTCACCCAGCCTGGACGGATTGTGGAGTCACGACCAAAGAGGTGAACTCTGGAAAAAAAATTCAACACGTCGACAAACAAAGAATTAACAAGTATTAATGACTTGTGTTAGATTTTTGGCCATTAAGCAAAAAGTCAGTCAAGTAGAATCTGTAATGTCTGGTTACTCCTCATATTATTTATAAAATTTTAATCAACTATTAACTATTAACTGCCTCCGTGGCCGAACGGTTACCATGCCGGACTGCCACGCAGAGGTCCCAGGTTCGATTCCCGGGCCGGGAGATATGTTTGTATGGCTTACATTTATTTCTCTCTTGAGTTTGGGTGCAATTTGTGGTTGTCTATGTGTGTGTCCATGGCACCCGCGACATAGGGTTTCCCTAGTGCGGGGCTATGTTGAGTGTGTGTGTGTGCGTTATTTAATTAAATTTCATTTAAGGCACTGCCTCCTTAGATCTAAATAACAAAACGCAAACTGACCTTCTTCTTCCTAAACAGAAATGTTCCATAATGTGGAATATCTCAATAGGTTTCTCCGTGCTTCCAAACTCAGGATCCTCCGATATGATCAAATCGATATCCACATTGGCATGGATGAAGTCGCCATCCACAGATCTTCTGACAGTCCCTTTGATGCCCATGAGACAATGTTCCTTTGTACGTTGGAACACAGCGTTATGTTCAAGGTTCTTCGAATGCCCTGGGTTTTTTATGTTTGTTTTAATCCAACATATGTCCTCGCATCGACGGAAACCCCATTTTTTAAGGCACTCTCTGCCCATGTCCAATCCTAAAAACGAAAGTAAACATCACTGATTCCAAGATACTTCTATGAACCACATTGAACACTCTCAGCGCTCTGGAGTAAACGATTTTTCTGAAGTAGCAAGCCAAGTGGGCGGCGCGTGAGACAAGCATTTTTTAACCGACTTCAAAAAAAGATATTTCAATTCGACTATTTTTTTGTATGCATGTTACGGGATTACTTCGGCATTTATGAACAGATTTTGATATATCTTTTTTTGTTGGTGAGAAGGTACTGTAGTCTAGGCTCTACTCTATGAGTAGAATCACTGGCTGAGTGAATAGAGTTTTGTATTTAGAATGTGTTTGAAAAATGAAATAAGAAAGAATAGAACATCTTGAGAGTTCGTAATGTAACCCGAATTAGAAAATATGTGAAAGAATACAATAAAGCAAGTTTTGAAGATTATCCCAGTTTATATTTACAAAAGTACCTCTCGGTACGCATCCTAAGCTACGCTCCAGCTACAGTACCTCGTTATTGGTCCCATTTAAATTTGAAGAGAATATTCCAGTATAAGCGTGGTAAACTGGGGGATGAATCCAGTTTCGCGCGCTTTCCGGTAACCAATTTTAATAAAATTTGGCAAATAGATGTAACACATGATGATGAAACACATGTAGATGTTCCACGAACTTTTGAGGTCGGTTATGTTCATAAAAAAGTTGTAATTCACATCAGGTGCGGCCCTGGTCTTAAGTAACTTTTGTAGCAGGCCATGTGGGCTGCCAGCAGGACACCTTCAAGCTTTAAACAAGCCTAAACCAAAAACAGGCGTAATCGATACCAGAAGTATCAATTAACGTAAGGGACATTTTGTCGAAAATGAGTTACATAATATCATTGGATTCGGAAGTTCCCGCTCTGTCGATTGGTATTATTAAAATTTAGAATGTCTAGTGGTTTAAAATATAGTATGTCCCATACATTAAAAAACATTTAAAAAACATGTTTAGTTGTGAGAAATAAAAAAATACACGTAATTCTATTGTGAAGGATCCTTTATAATAGAATTAGGTATAATTGTCTATTTCTCTTACACATAATATATTAGTAACGTAAGACACAACTAAACATCTTTTTTAATTTAAGGGACGTGCTATATTTTAAACCACTGGGCATTCCTAAGTCTTACGTTTATAGCATGAAAGAAGAGGAAATTCTAAGAAACTTTGCTCTAGATTCAATCAAAATTGGAGCAGACAGTAAAAAGTTATAGACAGATAAAAAAATAAAATCGTTTTTTAGCTTTCCTGAAAAACCGTGGTTTGTCCCTTACATTAATTGATACTTCTGGTGTCGGTATTTTTAAATGAAAACGCAGAAGATCCAAACAATTGGCTGTGTTCGCCGACATCCGATAGCCGTCGTCCTGCTGATTCTGTCGACCTTTGACAGATCGGGCTTAGAAAAATGGAACATGGAATGGAAATTTTGGGCGGCCGGCACAGGCCACGTGGAGCTGAGAGTGTTAAGAAGGTCTTTGAGAATCACATTAAACAACAACATAATTGTCATCAACAGTTACGTATTTATATCGGTAGATCAATTACTATGCTATGTATTGTAATCATATTGTAATAATTAAACGTATTCATTAAAGTGCAAGTTTGTAAAGCGAAGGTGAGCCCGAGTACATAGGGGGCGCCAGCATTGATATTTCGAGGGGTCGTGCGGCGACATAAAAAGCGATCGGCGAATTGGCAATATTTAGGCTATTTTTTAAATATGAAAAGGCGGTTTTAGGCTATTTAAGACAATGTCGGGGGATTACAAAATTGAGTGGGGATTTGGGGAATGGAGTTGTACATTGTTACTGTAGCTTAACGAATATAAATTAGACCTTGTACCGATTATTGTCATACTTTAAGCACGTATGCGATTTGGACTTATTATTATAACTGACAGGTTTTTCATATTAATTATATTTAAAATTTACGACTAAATTAATGTCTGCCTGATATCATTTCCGTATTTCAATTTAGCAATAATAACATTTAAAAGTACCTAAATCCCTTTCTAAAAGAAATGCCAACCAATCAAGCATCGGTCTACCAAAAGCGTTAACCAATGAAATCACAGTCTGTTAACCCACCAAAACGGTAGATGGTGTGGTCGCAGAAGAAAGTTTATTTAGTCTGTGTTCGGATTTTCTAGCCAGAGGTAATATTGTGAGTACTGTGGTTGACGTATATAAAGGTTGTTAATTTATACAGGTATGTACTAATTGTCTTCTTTTATTATGTAATTTAGTAACGAACTATCAGGGAAATAAATGATTGAAAGTGAATTGTATTAAGCTGTTTCCTCTCGAGCCTTAGATGCTACCTTAATTACCTAAGTCTTTACTTGATTTGCAATTAGCTTACAATATGGAGAATAGGAACAATATTAAACAACTCGTTTTTGGTTCTGAGTATTTCTGTAAGTAATTTCTGTTTGAGTAAGTCTGGCAACACAGGGCGCCAGCAGCGTACGAAAAGTTAGACGGAACAAAACATCAAAGTGATGTTAACGAATTTTGAAGCGGGAACGTGAGATAGGAGGATTGAAGAGAACTCAGTCTATCTGGAGCGGAGGAAAAAGGATTGTAAAGGAAGTGAGTGTTAACTAAATAGAGTTATTGACAAGTGAGTATGTTTACTTGTTTCATTCTTATCTGCCTATTTCCCCTTTATGAGTAAATGATTACATTGAAGTTTAAGTCGGTATTGCAACTACATCCTACATAATAATGATATGTACGTGGCAATAATAATTTTGGTGTCAAATAGTACATTCTATAACTGCCAGATAGGTAGGTAATCGCGTTTGATAAACAACTGGACACCCAGTCTCTCTGCTTGATGTGGCTTCTCTCCTAACGGCTTTTTACTGTAATTGACGCAATAAAGACACTGTAAAAATGTACATACCTTCCGAGCTACCACACCAGAGGAATATAAAAGAGCGAGCTTGTGCAATCTGCTGCAGATCAAGGGCCAGTACGTCCTCCCAGCGCCACCCTGCGCCCAAGGGTGGTTCAACCAGGATAACGTCAAACTTGTTGCCCATTTGTTTTAGGTCGAAGGTCTGAAATTAAATAATTATGTTACCAATAATTAAAAATGTTTCTTGACGTGTAATGAGAATATATTCCCATCACCTCCCAGAAGTAACCACAACAGGACGCGATCTACTGCAGTCTGTGTGGATGTCATTGAATAGACTTCGCGCAGAAGTAGGTCGCTGCATAAAAAAGTAAGTAAGTCGATAAAAAGGAGCTTTATTTCTATGTGATAAGCGCAAAAATCACTGGCAATGAATCGATTTCTTGCCGCATTTCTATGTCATCCCAGCGCCGATTATCGCTGAACGCACCTAAAGATGACCGAATGGCTCTGATCGTGTTTGTACAGCGCTTTCAATAGCAGAAAACAGCCGAAGGTTTACATATTACACCTGCTGTGGATGGAGGAGACGACAACCGATTGGCGGCGACGACGGCCGATTGGCGGCGACTACGGCCGATCGGCAGTGTCGCCGACCAAAGCAGTGAAACCCTTATCTTAAACAGGTTCCGTATAAGTCTAAAAAAATGGTTGGTTATCTGTAATTGTATCATACCTTAAGGTCACATTTCAAATACATTGGCGGAGTGGCATTACTGGAAATAAGCTCATCCTTCAGCTTGATCAGTTCTCTCAGCTTAGGGTACTCCTCAAACCGATCAGCCAGTCCTACGTCGCGAATAAAGTTCTGGGGTCGCTGGCCAGTGTCTACGAAGTGCTGGCAGTAGTCGTTGTGTGGGTTCGAGGACTGTGTACCCTGAAATATTTAGTAATTATTACTGGTAATGAAATTATTATTTTCATCGTGTTGAATTTTCCACAACCTTCTGTTTTTCTTTTCTTTGCATATATTAAGCATATGTCGTTGCCATGACGAGTCACGGAAATTAACTTGCTGTTCCAAATAATTGTATTCCACATGAACTTAATTTATATTGCTATTGCCTTGCAACTGTGATCCTGGTCTTTGAACCATAAACAAATCTAACCTGTAGGGTATAATGTAGTTTAGAATAATGTGTCCTGTAACATTTCTCTACCTTATTCATTACTCGGCTGATAGTTTCCAACTGATCTTGAATCTTTGACTTATTTTAAGCAGCTAAATCAATTAGATACGAGTCAACTGGGGTGTGTTAATTGTTCCACCTCCACGCGTGCGAAATTCTTGAGCAGTCTGTGATAACATGTTGTCACAGAATGCCCAAGGATGTAGCCGGTACACCCTGGGGCCAACACTGACAACTCTCGGCTTCAGTCTGAGTCTTGCTAGTGAGGACGCGAAGGGATCAACGCGGCCCGGCCATGCGTTTATGAGGGTGGACCATGGCTAGTGGTGGGCGGTCTTAATCTACACCCCAGGAGGGTGTGTTCATGCCTACGCAGTTGAGTGCCGTACGCAAGAAAGAAGGAATCCTGGGGGGCTGAGCTCGAGTGGGGTGGGGACCCCGGCAAGCAATACGCCTTCTTCGGCCCTGATTCTTGCTAAACGGTAGGACTCGGCCATGCTGACGGGGTGAGTATGTGCGGGGAACACCTGGCTGACTTTGATCGGGTCAGCCAGCCGCACATTTCGAGCCCCCTATGTCGCGCAGTGAGCTCCTAACCTCGGCACCTATACTCTCCTGATAATCCTGGTGTCCCGAATGAGACATCCCCAAAGGTGCGGGCTCCGTGGTGGGTCATGAGAGTGAACACAAGCAACATGGATTCTGCAGATCAACTAAAATCATTCAATCACCCAAAACCGGTGGTACTGGAGGGGAAACCCAAAAGTGTTTGTATCAAGCACAAATTTAAACGTACAGCAGCGCCCTACGGTGAGTGGTAGGCCAAAGAAAGAACAAACGGGGTCGACTCCGAGAACGTGAGCGCCGTAATACGAAGGAAAAACCGAAAGAGGGAGAGGCGCGGCCCCCAGCGGGTGACGGGAATGGTGCAGAGACCGCGTTAGTGCAGCCCACTGGACCGAACTCGCACGCCTCTGGAAGGGCACCCCCACCATCCAAGGAACAAACAAACGCACAAGGCACAGAGGTACTCGACCAATGCCAAACGTGCCCGTCTCGACGAGACATTTTCTCCACTGGCTTCACTAGAGAAGGAAAAGGGCCCTCCCTGACCCCCGTCTCTGTGGACGTCGCCAGCCATACGGTGGCGTCCAACAGTGAGGACGAGTGTGTGTCGGCGATGGGAGACATCTGCCTGAGAGAATTTATTTGTTTATATATGTGTAGAAACTTGTGAAATTTTAATAATATTCATCAGAATAATATTATTTGATCCTAAAAAATATAACTGATCTATTGCTAATGTGCACTTTTTAAATGAACAATATTTTTTTTCTTTGATATATATACGAGGGGAGGTCCAAAAGTCCGCGGAATGGAGGGGTTGTAAATAATATAAAACAATAAGGCTATTTTTCCTTTTCAATATAATTACTTTTGAGCTCAATACATTTTTTAGATCTCGAAATTAGCTTTTCTATGCCATCGAAAAAATATTTTTTCCCTTTGCTCTCAAAATGAGCTAAAATTGCTGCCTTAACCTCTTCATCGTTGCGAAATTTTTTCCCACGTAATTCTTTTTTCAAATTTGGGAACAAATAATAATCGCTGGGGGCTAGGTCCGGGCTGTAAGGTGGGTGGGTCAGCGATTGAAAGCCACACTTGTGTAGAGCAACCATCGCAACATTGCTCTTGTGAACCGGTGCGTTGTCTTGCAAAAGCAACACACCCTTTGTCCATTTTCCCCGCCTTTCTTCTTTGACAGCTTCCTTCAGTCTCTCTAATGTTCTTGCGTAATATTCTCCCGTGCCACTTGTAAATCATTGTTTTACCAGGGCACTGATCCCCATAAACAGTTTCCATCTCATTCATAATGGTTTGAGGAGGTTTTCCTTGCTTGGTAAGGAATTTGATGACAGCACGAAGCTCGATTTGCTCCATATTTGCAGTTTTCTTCCGGATTTACTTGTTTGTAGGGCGATATCTCATAAACTAATGAAGTTAAAAGGGTGAAGCTTGATATATATACCCCTAATGAGTATCTGATTAGTACCACATCAAGCAAGCGTAATTAGCGGGCTCCGGCCCCCTCCCTTCCGCGGAGTTTTGGACCTCCCCTCGTATATATATATATTATAATATCTAGTGACGGGACAAACAAGTTGTGCGCCTGATGGTAAGCTACAAGCCTGTACATGACAGTTGCAGTGCCACTCAGAGCTTTAAATCGCAGAGATCTGAAGGTCACTGCCATTGCACCCATCGCCCTGAGACATAGTTAACAAGTCCCATGTGCCTGTAATTTCACTAGCACCCTTACAAACCGGAACGCAGTAATGCTCACATTACTGCTTGGCAACAGAAATAGGTAAGGTAGCAGTACGTCTCTGGATGAACTCTTTCACAAGGAGCTCTACTGCTACTGCTCTTATCTTGTCTTGTCTGAAATACATAGAATGTTTAATGTTATGTTATGGAAAAAACAACAAACCTTTAAGAATGTTGAAGAATCTGTATACACAAGTCCATCAGCTAGCTCTTTTGATGCAGGTTTATCACTACCATCATGGCTTGCAGATGATACAGCCTGCTTCTTCGACGGGGTGTCTAGTGTCACGCCTAATGCTTGCCGGAGCTCGCTTACGCTTGGAACCCCTAACTGAAAATGTTTTATAACACTACACCAAACATTTACTTCATCACTACCTTGGATATCAGCAGTTTTCGGTGTAAATACATGGAAGTTCAATGAAACATAAAGCACTATAATGCCACAGTAAAATAGTGAAAGGATTATACGATTTTTTTTAACTTTCGTGTCGCTTCTAGAGAGTTATGACCTAAAGTTGGACATGTAATTTGTGGTATGTGTATGGAATTAGATAATTGTTCAAAAACAGCACCTATCAGAAAGGTTTGTAATGCCTACAAATCAATAGTTGATCGCTTCAAAATGGCTTTACAACGAATGTGTGATTATGTTAGACGTTCGTATTATTCGAATATGTATTAATATCAATCTGCAGAGGAAGCAAAAATTGCAAATACCAGTGGTTACTCGAATTGTAGGTTATACTGCAACTTACGGCTTGTGCGAGTAATTTTTTCCTTTTCTGAGATCTCTCTCTCAATTCTTTGAGTTTTTCGCTCATTTTTATAAGATATTTGTGAGGTTTAACCTTATTTTATATAAAAAAGACACGAAAGCAACAAAACCAAAACAATGCTATGCTATGCATGACAATGACAGTTTTCGTTCAAAACTATCAAGTGCATTTGCAAAGGAAGACAAACATTCAATTTCAGAACGCAATTAGAAAAATACTCGAAAAAATGTACATACTTTAGGGATCCTATTCCAGAACTCTACTCAATGCTCAAGTCAGGACTTGAATATGATTTCAAGCACTGGAAATACGACCCTAATGGCAAGGTCTTGAGTATGATTTCTAGTGGTTTAAATCATACTCAAGTCCTGACTTGAGCGTTGAGTAGAGTTCTGGAATACGACCCGTAGAGTCGTCTTGGCTTGTGTATTTAAATGAAGTTATTCACATATAGGACGACACAATTAACTGTCGTTCACGATTTTTTTGTCGTTACGACGGCAGACTGTCGTGATAATGGGAAGAGTTAGAATGGCAGTCGTCAGACGATAAATAAAACGTCACGAGAAAAACGTGACGACAGATAGTCGCAGCTACTATTGTCGTCACGATTTGTTTGTCGTTGTCCACATTTGTTCTGCTCCCCACTCTACAATCTCGTACCCCGGGCCTTCGGCTCGCTTTGTACTAGCGTTGGGTCGTAGCCCGAGGTAAGCCCGGGTTTTCACCCGGCGCTTTGTTAACGCAGAGTTTAAATCGGGTTAAAACCCATTATTGCCCGAAATCGATGACAAAAACTATTTACGACTAAATATTTGTTGTGAATTGAGTTTTGTTCAAGTTTAATTAAACATATTATTACAAAATATGAAATTCTTAAATAGTTCCAGAATTTTCTCTCATCACATTTCAGTTCACCTATAAACGTTTGACATAATCCTAATGGAATTTTTTTTTAATAACATTAAACGTATCCAACACTTTCTTTTCTTCGTTTGCTTGCTCTTCCGCCTTTTAAAAAGTAATACATTATAATAATTTCGTCTTTATCCACTTCACATGGGAGCGAAAACACACTACTGCCTGCCAAAAGAACATAGAAGCAACTCCAGTGCATCAAGCGACTCTGTCGTGCAAACGACGAGGCGGCTGCCGTGAAACGATAAATTGTCGTCACGATCTAGTGGGAACAGCTACACACGATAGTCTTTCAACGATAAAATAATCGTCCACGACACAACCACGACAGACATAATTCGTGATATGGGAACAGGCTAGCACGACAGTCGTCTAACGATAAATAAAACGTCACGAGATAGTGGGAACGCGCCCTTAGCATAGGGGTTAGTGTTCTCGCCTTTCACGTGGAAGACCAGGGTTTGATTAACATAATTTTCCGCATTATAAAATGAACATTCAGGAAGGGGCATTAACTTGAGCATTGGTCATTTTGTGAATTACTCGATTTTACGAGATGTACGAAAAACCGTGCTAACCTAATACTTTGACCTATCTTCCAAGAAGTGACCATACATTTTAATCCGGGTTCGCACCTCTGAGTTTCTCGGCATTTATGTGCGAAATATAATTTGAAATTTACCATGAACTTTTCGGAGAAGGAAAACATAACGTGATGAAACCTATGCGCGTTGAAGAAGGATCACCACCCTCAGATAACGTGTGAAGTCCCTTACCCGCATTCTGAGAGGAGACCAGTGCCCAGAAGCGGGATTGGTAATGATGATGACGAGATGTACGATGACTCGCAACCCGGGATTAAACAATTTGTAAAATAGTTGACTAAATAACAATGGGAAATTTTGAATAAAGCAAAACTAGTGACGATACGATTTTCTAAGTTATAGCTTTAGTTTAGTGCACATTCTGAGCAGAGGTCATGTCAAAATACTTGCCTCTCTTACAAGCAAACGGTTACGGCCATTGTGGTTTAAACAATAAACGGGATGGTGACTATAGCATAAAACAAGCCTCAGTTTGAGTCAATAGTAGCTGTTGAGTATCCTGGAATACAATGCTGAAAGGTTTTACCAAATTATGTGTGATTTGTAAAAATTGAAATAGGCACATAACTAAGGTACATACATAATGTAACAATTAAGTCAAAGGGCTTGGAAGTTTAGGACATTTCCACTGGAAATAATCGAATTGAAAGTAATATAAAGGAAGTGGGTACATTTTTTAGATATTTTTATATTATAAACTACAAGTACATTGATAAAATTTATTATTCAAAAAGCATATATAACTATATATTTATAATATAGATTTTTATTAAATAATTTTACTTTTATTTTATTTAAACATTTTACTTCGAAAAATTAAGAATAGTCAAATTCACAGGCGTTGGCAATATTTTCCGCATTGCATGTAAGATATTGCTGACTATAGTATCTTGCATGTTTTCTTCTCTCGTAGACTTTGTGTCTCTATTCTTCATGAACGGATTATTAGCCAGGCCAAATAGGTTGCTATTTGCAGGCGAAGGCTTCACATGTTGCATATCTTTTGGAGGTTTAGATGAAAAAGGAAATTCCATAAATGAAGTAAATGTAGGACTTGTTTCTTTAATCAATGTTGAACGTTTATCCTGATCTTTATGATTATTCGAGAAAAGAACGTGTAAATTGTCTTCAATTTTATATGATAGCGGTACTCTTATTACATTCATGTCTAGGTACGGCGACGGAGTGCTGGCTGTAAAATCTTTGTAGTATTTTACAGCCCTTGAAAGTACGTCCTTGTCAGGTTTATATTGTTTGAGGTTCACTGGTACTCTTGAAGGATTAATGTCATTATTCTCATTTAGATACATTTTATTGTTTACAGGGAATGTTTTAGACGATGAAGTGGGTGTGTTTGTAGTACTAGGATTTGCTGTAGTTTTCTTATCTTGTTCTTCAGTGTTCACGTTTGTAGCATCAGTGACATTGTTTTGAATTTTAAAATTTGTTTCACTCTCGATCTTTACAGTAGTTTTGTCAAGGAAATCAATTTTAGCTTGGCTGAGTATTGGATATAAAGGTAAGTTCAAAGTATTATTTGTTAAAGTCATTTCATCGGTTGTTCTCGAAATATCTAAGGTAGTTTTATACATGTTACTTGTTGCGTTATAGTTGAGATCGGGGTTCATGGACTTTATTACTTTATTACTATTGACCGTGTGTGCTTCAAAGAGTGGCTTGGGTGTTGTGATAAATCTGCTATAGGTATATGAGATTTCTTCGAAATACCTTTTAGAGTCGGATGTTTTTTCGAAAACTGGTGGAAAAACCCCTAGACGTCCATTTGGTAGTGACTGTTCAGTATTCATATTCTTTAACAAATTATTAGTATTAGTAGACTTGTCGGAAAGCATAATTATTTCTGCTGAGTCTTCAGTTGACGTTGAATCATAGTCAAAAATAAATTTATCTCTTTGCCTCTTTTTGCCGTTTGGTAGGAACGATACTTCCGGGGTATGTGTGACATTAGTGACGTTGTTTTGCAATGTATCTTTACACTGTTCGGCGGTAACACACTTGCCAGAGACGTCACGTAGTAAACCGAGCTTGCAGTGGCAGCCCAGGACGCACCGTCGAGGCCTAATGTTGCACTTCATGGAGCCACATCGAGCTTCGCAGCCGTATCTGCAGACAAACTCCTCATCGGGGTCGGAGCACTTTTCTGAAAAAAGAAATAACAGCTGACCGTTCGTATAATAGGTATTGAACATTATTGTGTAGGTGTAATGTCTTTGCTTCGCAATATTAGCAGATGTAATATTTTTTATCGTGTTAGGTAGCCAAAGCAAAAATACAGGGGACCGAACTGTGAGCCTCAAGGTTGCCTTCTTACTACGTTTGGGATAGAACCGAGAATTTGTATCCAGGTCAACGTCTTGGGGACTTGGAGAAGGGCGTAAAATAGTGTCGTAAACTTTTACGCTTCTAAACCTTAACTTCTTTACTCTTTGATGACGTTATAATTTGACATTTATTGTGTGTCGTCCCTATTGCAACTACCATGTGCTTCCAACCCAAATTCTTTGTTATCAATGCTTTTTAAATAAACCACGTCTAAATTATAATATCTGTAGGGCTGGCACGACGGCGAGCGACATAAAGCGCGAGATCTCTATGCGAGAATAGCAGTATCTCGCGCTTTATGTCGCTCTTGCACAAGTCGCAGCAAAGGTTAGGTACTGCTGGTATTTATGAAGGTGATTATTCGTTCAATATTTCTTTTTTAAAGACATGGTAGCTTTAAGGTGTGGACTACCGCCTCTCAAGCAGAAGCTATGGGCTCGAATCCGGGCTCGCACTCTGTGTTTCTCGGAATGTATGTGCGCAATTTTATTTTCATTAAATTTACCATGAGCTTTTCGGCTTTTCTTTTCAAATGAAATCTAATACGTCACTTATGGGATCGATGGCCAGCACAACATCTATCTCCGACAAACTCGCGTCAAAGGTCAATGCAAAACAAAGCAATTTCTAATTGACGATATATTAAGTAAACATTTTTATTTTCGTTTTATTAAAACTTTTTAATCAGCTACCCATCGAATATGTAACCAGAAATAGAGACGAAATAAGGGCCATACATTCCATACATCAGTGATAATCACTTATAAATATCAACTCTCGTTTGCACTGAAATAAAGACAGGCCAACAACAGACCTGTGTGTATTCCAAAAATATTCTGTATTTATTGTAATAAAGATAATATCTCTAACAATGGCGTGCTGTTCCATTTGGTGGTGTGTGGAAAAACAGCAAAACGTTTAATTACAAAACAAACAAAATCAAATGTCATCGGTAGTTAGTTATTAAATATGTAATTTTGCAATTATCGTCCATTGTAGCAAAGCTCAAGTTAACTGTGAAACAACTGACGAGACCCATTGACGACACCCGTCAATTGTTTCGAATTCGGGCTGGCCAATCGGAGTGCAGTTGTCACAGTAATGATATGGCAAAATAGTTTTCATACAAACGAAATGACATTTCGTCTCTATTTCTGGTTATATACTTGATGCAATCTATCGATAAAACCATTGACAACAACCACACAACTATTTAACTGCCTCCGTGGCCGAACGGTTACCATGCCGGACGGTCACGCAGAGATCCCAGGTTCGATTCCCGGGCCGGTAGAAATATTTGTACTATATTTATTACTCTCGCGAGTGTAATATGTGGTTGTCTATGTGTGTGTCCATGGCACTCGCGACACAGGGTTTCCCTAGTGCGAGGCTATGTTGAGTGTGTGCGTTATTTCAAATTTTATGAACACTGACAACCCTACAAATGTTATTTTACTCCGTCTTCCAAAAAGAGTAAAGAATGACTATAGTTTGTTGAAGTTTGGGCCTAATAAATGTGTTGATGTTAAGGATATATCGACCCCTCCCACGTAAAGTATCGTATGTCAAAATTGCCAAGTTTACAGGGGAGCCTTTTAAAGTTCTGAATTCACAGAAATAAGCATAACACGTGACTTTAGATTTCTCACTTTTATTCGGCAAATCTCGTAACACACGTTGAGTATCATAAAATCCTAGATATCGGTTAGATGATCTATTAGATGATCACTCTATGTGAGTAACAAGCTTTGCCAAATGAAACTGAAACTTTAAAACACTCCCCTGTAAACTTGGCAATTTCGACATACGATACTTTACGTAGGAGGCGTCGATATATGCTCTCAAGTGTAAACAGTGGCCCAGATACTCACGAGGCGCGCAATCCTTCTCCTCCACGCAATGTCCGCTATGATGCCTCAGCAACGGCGGCCTACACAGACAGCCCCTAGTACAGATTCCAAGCGGGCACTCTGGTCTGGGTTCCCAGCAGCTTGGTTCGCACCATCCACACGACAGGTAGATCTCATCAGAGGAACAGTCTTCAATGCTGGGCTCCTGAATTCCGCCTAGGGTTATTTCCGCTGTTGGAAATCGTAAATGTAAATTGTAACGTGTTAAATGAAAAGATGGTAAACCTGCAAATATTCACCTTTATCTGTTATAACTAGCAGTGGCAGTAGAGCTCCCTGTGAAAGACCTTATACAGGGAAGTACTGCTGCCATGTAATACAAATAATCGGATGCTAGTTTGTAGATGATGCAAATTAATAAAACACGGGACACATAGACATTCACAGAAACTACGGCATAACTGGAACTAACACAGCAGAAAAGAAAAACAAAAGGGTCGGTATCATAAAGACTGTATCTTCAAAATGACCTGATCAGCACAAAGTCTAGAAGAGTGCAAACACGCGATTGCATCGATACAAACGCGCGACTGCATTTCATACAGTCGCTTATGTTGAATCATTATGTACGAAAAATGTGTATAAGTTTATGCTTTGTTTTTTTGGATCGAACACTCACAAAAAATTCCTTCGATCCGGCCGGATTCGAACCGATTAAATAAATAAAATAGTTAGTAGAAGAGCTAGAACGAGTGTCGTCCTACGATAAATAAAACGTCACTATAAAAATGTGACGACAAATAATCCCAGCTTCAAATGATTCTGTCGTTCAAACGACAAGGCGCTGACGACACGATGTAATGGGAATGCGCCCTTATGGGTAGATCTGTCGCTAATCTCCAGACGCACGACTGTTCGTCCCGTTACATATAATAAGACTTATACCTAATAAGAAAACCGTCGAACGTTTAAAGCTGAGAGTGCATCTGATTGAGTCTAGGATTGCACCGAGTGAGCATAATCGTATAAGAAACCAAGGATAAGTGAATTAGAAGTGAAAGTAAAGAAAAAGTTACTTACTTGCATGTGCAGATGTATTATATTGAAAATGTTCGTCGAGTGCTGGTGCCGGATCAAGGTCAGGAAATCACAAAACATCTATTCTTATTTAACCTCCTAAAGCCCCATGTTACATTAAAATGTTACTTAAAATATATAAAGTGATTCAGAACCAGAAAATATAATTGACGTAAACGCCAAGTGTACTACATTATAACGAAATATGATAAATTTAAGCAAGATAAACACTCTTTACGGCCACAGGTGGTGTAAAACCATCCTGTCGACTTAAAAGTCGAAAATATATATATATACATATATATATATAATATATTATATACAAGATGCAATTACGTGTAGATATTTATCGTAAGATAATTATCGTTTGAGTTTTAGCTTTTAATAATATTGTGTTCTGTTGTAATTATAATTATTTTTTAACCGACTTCAAAGAAAAAAGGAGGAAGTTCTCATTCGACTATATTTTATGTATGTATATTACGCGATAACTTCGATAAAATTTGTGAACCCATTTTGATGTTTCTTTTTTGTTGGAAAGAGTATTGGCCCCTTTTCAATTTAAATTTGAAGGAAATATTCCACCTCAAAGGGTGGTAAACTGGGGGATGAATCCGGTTTCGCGCACTTTCCGGTAACGGATTTCAATAAAATTTAGCAAACAGATGTAATTCCACGAAATTTTGAGATCGGGTTTTTTTTTAAAAATGAGAGATTGTAATTTTACACTAACTTATTACTAAGACAAATTTAGTCATGCTGTGTACACTGTTTATGGAATTTGGTCTAGTCTTTTAATACATTAATATGAGATACATCTCATACCATGTGATGAAGATGTGATCATGACCATACCATGTAATGATTGAGTACTTTAAAAAAAAGTTTTGAAACTATTTCAAAAGTAATTTCCCATACTTATAGGCTAGGCATTTAATTTAGTTAATACTTAAATTTTAAATTAAAAAAAAATTGTATTTTTCTTTTGATTTTTATGATTGGCACGTAAGAAGCAAAGGGCCTTTTAAACTGATTAGTATACGGTGTGAAAACATAATTCCTAAAAACTTTCACGATAGAAAAAATAAACACAAACTTACCTCGAAATTTTACAAGAAAACGGCTGTATTCAATCGGTACTTTATTTAAATATAATACATAATAAATTTTGAAATAAAGCCGGTGTCCCTGTCGCTCGACCCTTGCAAAATGAACCGTGTTAGTACGGGAAAAAATTAAACGTATAGTTTATTGTGAAAGCTTTGAATTGCAAAGTTTTGCAACAACCTGCAGCCATGGAAGTTAAATCTGTCTTCGTGCTATCGCGCAACTGACCATTCTCGTAAATGAACTATCGCGCAACTGGTCATTCGCGCAAATGAACTATCGCTCATTTAAGCTTTCGCGCAACCGTCTTCGCACAATCGTTATTCGCGTAATTGGCATTCGCACTCACGTAGTACACCCCCATAAACTAGAATAGGTACACACAGATACTTCTAATAAACGAGATAAGTAACAGATTTCTATGAAATAGTAAAATACCTAAACTTTGATTGCGATTAATCCGTTAAATCGTTGAATTAAAAAAAATACCTACAAATTATGAAAAAATATGTAATATACATTGATGACTCACTGAGTGATTCAGTGAAATAGATCCTATAAGACGAAACTGTTTTTATTTCATCAAAAACAAGCAACTCACTAAACGTCGGTTTGTTATCTTTAATTGACAATTGATATTCCTCAATTCAAGAAATGAGCTGTTGCGTAAAAGTGGTGTAACCCACATTTAATTTGTTTTCTACTATATTACTTTAAATAATACTGTAGTACATCATTACTTTATATTTGGATGCTATTTTCATGTGTGAACAAAATTAATAATTAAATATTATTACTATATTTTTACGCACTAATGCGACAAAAGGTGGCATCCGCAGGCAGAGTGCAAGAGAGCTCAAACAAAGTTCTGGACTGAAATTCGTCCTGGGAGCTCGGTGAACTTAGCAAGTATCATGTAATCATTTCATTCATTCAATTTATTTTTATTCTGTAACTTTTGTACCAACAGAGTAGATAGCTTCTAAGTGTACTAACAAAATGGACCTATATTCTTAATTTATTATATAGGTCAATATATATATGATTACTGTATAAAAATAGAAATTGGGTAATTTTAAATCCCTCACTATCTTCTCTGTGCATTTCAAGGGGTTACACTGCTTTTGCGCTGATAGCCTCAATTAATATCCACATCAATTAGTAGGCGCCGCGCAAAACCGTGTAGAATACTAGCAACCAAATAATATGTCGCCTGTGGCGACTGTGTCGGTTATTAATTGTTGCGGCAACCCGACACTTGTATGAAAATTGAATATTCGCTTCTAGTTGCTGATTGCTTGTAGTATTCAACACAAGACACGTTTGCGCGGCGCCCTTAAGTTGAAAGTAATTAGTTTTGAAATATATGTATCATTTTTGTGTAAGTGGACTAAACTTCTATCGAAATCCAGAGCTCAGTGAAAACCAGCGCCACAGTCAGCTAAGACTATGGTTTTATGTTGGATGAAGTCGTTTTGCGTACACCACAACTGCACAAATGACAGTACAAAATTTGTAGCCGTTTTTTTTTTGCTTTTTGTCAGTTTTGTCTATTTTTTTATTTTGTTTTTTGTTTTAGTGCTTTGTTGTAATTTTTGTTTTGTTTATTAATTCTCTCTATTTTGTTTTGCTTCTCTGTGTTATCAATTTTTTTTTGTATGTATGTGTTGTAGCGTTGCTATAATTGCCAGAATAAGAACTGCCTCCGTGGCCGAACGGTTACCATGCCGGACTGCCATGCAGAGGTCCCAGGTTCGATCCCGGGTCGGGAGAAATATTTGTATGGCCTACATTTATTTCTCTCGTGAGTTTGGCTGTAATTTGTGGTTGTCTACGTGTGTGTCCATGGCCCCCGCGACACAGGGTATCCCTAGTGCGGGGCTATGTTCAGTGTGTACGTTATTATTATTATTATTAATAAATGTCTATTCTATTCTATTCCAAATGCACTGCAATGTATTGCTCTATAGTGCAAATCTACTTTTTCACTACATGTACGTACATACAGTTATCAACACGATTTAATCATTAGTTTAAGTTCAACTTGTGATAATAACGACCCACTGTGCTGTAGAGTGAACAGGGTCAGGAACACTGCCGTCCACTAACTAAAATGCGGGTAAGTGACACATGGCTAAATAAGCGATTTAAATAACAAAAAATAGAGCACAAAACTCTTTTAAAAACAGTTAAAATTAGTGAACGTGTTAGACTTATCGGAACTTACCCTCACGATGCATAACTGAAATATCATTAAACAATTGCAATTTTCTAAAACTGGCTTATGTTTTTTTTATAATATCTCAAAAAAAGATTTTGTCACTGTCACCCGCGTTTTAATTAGCGCAGAAGCTTGACATTTAGCGTAAATACAACTCTATGGCGCTTGCAATAACAACGGCAAAGGTTCAAAGTCCAAAGTGCTGTTGACTGTAGACATTGTTTAACTGCCAATTAAGTCTTGATTGCTATTGTCCACATTTCTAAATTTAATTTCATTTTATGTGTGTCTAAAAGTGAAAACAAAGAAAAAGAAATTTTGGCAAGAAATGTGCAGAAGAGAATACATTTATTACCACTTAGGACTACGGTACTACAGGAAAGACATTGAAACAAAAAATGAATCACAGAAAACATCAGATTTAATAGTTACCTCCATAAAAAAATTGCCAGAGTATATTCAGATCTACAATGTTATAAGCTTAGAGTAATAACGCATAGAATGATAGTTTCGTATCAAACGAACTGTCACAAGTGAGGCAAAAATCAAATTCATGTAGTTTTAGTAGTAGGTTAATTTTCGGTTTTAGTGAATATTTATATAAAAATACAAGTTGAAACGCGTTACTTCCTTGTAGAATGTGATGTTAGTATCTATTTTATGTTTGTCTGACGTATTTTTACACTCATTTATCGCACATTCGTCATTTTTAGCTAAAATTCTTGAGCTTTTCGCGGTGCAAGTTGACCTTGAGCACTGAAGGCCCGCCCGCTCGTGTAGGCCCTTTTGGCGCGCTTCAATTTGCCTCACTTAGCGTGTGCGGACTAGGTTTCTATACGTTATTATTCTAAGGTTGTAAGATAGAAAGAGGACATAGGAAAGTAAATAATGAAGTAAATATAATACAATATTTAGTTACGTAATAAAATAGGTAATTGAAATAAAAAATTATACACAAATATCTACAAAAGTTGTGTAAGAAAAAACATTATAATATAGGAAATGGAACTATTTTTCCGGATTTAAATCGCGTATATTTGTTTTTTCAAACAAACTGACGTTTCGGGCCCTTTACAGGTCCCATGGTCACGGTTGACTGAGGTGGTACAGTCTTCAACCAGTTATGTCTAATATTGATGCAAACCACCCTGTTTTTTTACTATAATTACAAAAGTTATTTATTAAATACCTTATTTTTAATTTAACACAGAAACATTTCAATTTAAGCTACATTAAGTTTTACAAATTATTTTATTGAATGAATTTTTATTTCAATTTCAATTTAGTGTTAATTAATAATAGAAATTAGTTATTACTATAATGAAATTTCAACCGTGACCGTGGGACCTGTAAAAGCCCGAAACGTCGGCTTATTTGAAAAAAAAAAAAAAAACAAATATACGCGATTTAAATCCGGAAAAATAGTTTCATTTCCTATGTGTAACAATCGCGAAATCCTAAGTACCCGATAAACATTATAATGTTTTCATTAAAGTTTTTAGTTACTTTTTAAAAATTAACTATTATTTTATATAAAACGCTAATGCCAAGGAATAAAAATAGTCGAGGATAAAAAAGATCACAGATATATAGAACATGATTATCACAAATTTAAGAGCTGTTACACACGCGCGACCTTTAAGCAGCGATGCAAACGCGCAACTTAATCGATACAAACGCGCCATTGCGACGATACAAACGCGTGATTGCATCAATGCCATCGGCTATAAATCGCAAATGTAGCGATCCAACAGCGAGTTTCAGGAACGCGCGTTTAGCATCGCTGCAAAAAACAGCCGTTTAAGGAAAATAAAAATAACTCAATATGTTGTAAAAAACCTGTATTTTACCACGATATGGGTTGTTTTTATTTCCTGATATTTATGAAAGGTTACACGCTCCATGATCACGGTTTGACTGGCCAGCGGCAGATGACAGCTTTAAAAACAGATACATCCGTCTATCCTCTTTCGCTGTCAACGATTACCTTCGAAAGAGGGTACACAGATATGTCTGCTCTTAAAGCTGCTGTCATCTGCTGCTGGCCAGTCAATCCGTGACCATGGAGCGTGTAAGAAACCTGTAATTAGTTATAATCATTCAGTCAATACCCACGAAAGCCTTAAAATATAGTTAGAACGTGTCCATAAAAAATTAAATAATGTTAAAATCCGTTCATTTCAAAATATGTAAATACGGCAAGAGTGATAATAAAAATTAACGTCATCCATATTGTAATTGTACTAAGATCGTGCCATTATTAATATTAGAACAATACCGTACATCTGTCAATCAAAGCCTGTGCTATTAGCCATTGACGTGAAATCACTGTTTGTTGATATTTTAACGTGTATGATCTACAGCATGTTATAAAATCATGGACTGTCACTGGCACATCGCTAAATGACTAGCCAACAGAAGATGCATTAATCAGCTAATTCTTAAAGTTATTCCCCAGTCTTACCTCTAGGACAGTTCTTTAATAAAACACACTCTCCGCTGGGACTTTTGAGGTATCCAGGTTCGCAGAAGCATCCAGCCACGCAGGAGGTACGGCAGACAGGTGTGGCGCTGCTGCAAGTGCTCTCGCAGAGACGACAGCTATTGTAGACCTGATGTGGGCCGCAGGTTAGCTCGTAGGCTGGTTTAATGAAGTTTGCTGATGACAGACATTGTATTTCAGACTTGATTTTAGTGGTGGAGCAAGCAAGTAAGTGGGAAAGGTCCTACTGCATTAGTTCTATTATCCAGAAGCATCACATTACCTAGGATGCTGGACGAATAGACAAAAGGAAATGGAGAGATGATGGGGAAAATTCTAGAATATTGTCTGACCGTGTAATCCATTGACCTTTTGTAGGTCAATGGTGTAAGGCAATGAAGTAATAAAATTGTACGTAATGAACATAGAAGTAAATTAATTTGTTATATCACGAAGCCAGGAAAGGTTAAATTGTGTAAATTAACTGCACTGAATAATTATTTAATTTAATATAATTAGTTAATTTTCCCATCCTCCCTCCGCATATATTTTATAAAATAAATAACAAGCGCAACTACAGTCACAAAGACCATCACCAAAAAATATTTCCGACACGTGTTTCACATTTCCCGAGGCTTAGTACTGCCACCTGACCTATTTCTGCCGCCAAGCTGTCATGTAAGCATTACTGCATTCCGGTTTTGAAGCGTAAGGGTGTTGGTGAAATTCCAGGCACATGGGACTTGTCAACTTATGTCTAAGGGTGACGGGCGCAGTGACTGCCTCTAAAGATATTTGCGATTTAAAGCTCTGAGTAGCAATGCACCTGCTAATGTGCCCTGACCAGGATCACGGCAATAAAGTAGAATACTCCGGTCCACATAATTTACTTCAAAAGTAAAGTCGAAAGAAAAAAGGAAAGCTCTAACAAGAAAAGGGTATAAAAAAACAGGTACAACGCTACGAAACACTCCCTACTTAAGTACTATAAACGTGAGACAAACTTACCCCGAAAGGGTCGAACAATACAATATTACTAGGTTAGATTGGTATTAAAATTGGCACATGATTTGGGTTGGGAACTGGAAAAAGGATCAAAATTAGACGAGCAGCATACTCGCTTCAGCGATTAAGCAGAGAGTAGTATATAATATATTACAATCTGTGAGAGTGACAACGGAACGAAACAAAACGAGAATGACGGGCAACGGAATTAGAAATCGATTCAAAATTTGAAAACAAGTGGCCAGGGACCAGAGAAAAGGTGATTAAAAGGCGGAATGACGCATTTATGCTTATTTTGTTATAATCATTAATACAAATATTGAACACAAAGTAAATCCCTTCGGTCTGATAGGACTCGAACCTGCTTCTGTGCCAAATCAGGGATACCGCTCTACCAATTGATGTTCAGAATCGAGTCAGTAGACCTTACAAACTTCATGTTTGTCACAGATCTTGTATATTGGGCTTTTCAGCTTTTATTGCCGTAAGCGACACCTGTGACTAATCTATGAAGCTTCTAACTCAGCCGGTACCTTAAAGCTACCAGAGTCCGACGTGAGATGTCACTATATTAATTGTGATATTGATTTTTATTGAATTGATTGACGACATTAATTTTATTTTTTGTGAAATTGCTCCATTAAACAAAAATTGAACATAAAGAAAAAATATTTTCTTAAAGAAAAAAATATTTGTATGTAACAAACTAGAGGAGTACTATAATAATAAAAAAAATGAATATCATCATGATATCGAATAAAAACCCAATATGCTTATTTTGTTAGATGTCATCTTTTATACAACCTGTGTTTTCACAAACAGATGAATCATCAAAGTATGCTGGTAATAAAAAAAAACAAGCGGTGTTCCTGTTATTTTGCAAATCCCTTTGAACCATCACCACTTATTTTACGTTTTGCAAACATTCCAACTTACAACTCTCGCTCTTTCGATTACATTTACTGAACGAAACGCATCGCCCATCCCTGTTCCTGAACAAATCCTCTTTGCAGAAACATCCCCTTCCACATTGCGCTGGGCAAATTGGGTTTGGGTTATCGCAAGTTCGATTGCAGGGTTCGCAGATTCGGTATTCTTCGTTTTCTGGACATTCTGTTTCGGTGAAATGAGGCTCGGAGGTGTAAAGCTTGTGTGGAGCTAATGGAAACAAATTTACGTTAATGTGCATTGGTCTTGGTTTCATTAAAATAATTATTTTGCAGATTATTAATAAAGATGATTCCTTTCTTTGAAGTTTTAAAAGAATTTCTTAATTTTGGATTACAAGGCCAATGTTTATTTAAACTACAAAAAGTAAGGATAATAATTTTCACACTGATGAATTAGATTATTTTAGACAGACTGGTGTTCTAGAAACCAATCATTTCGCGGCAGACATGTTAAAAAACAGAGACATGTCTACCGCGCGAAATTGATATATCGTAGACCATTCTAACGTTTTCATATGATTATTTGAACCAATGAATAAAGCTGGGTGTCATATTCACAATAAAATGTAGTAATTTCTGAACAAATTTCAGTAACAAGTAAATAAAAGAGCTATTTTGGATTGTGCCACTATTATTGAAAAGCAGCGAACAGTAGGTTTCCATACTTATAGGCTAGGCAGATAGGGAGTCAAAACATGATATTATCAAGTAATTATTGAACAAAGACCGTATACTTAGAAAAAATTCACTTCCAGCCGGCTGGATTCAAACCGCCGCGCCGTCTCCTAGCAAACCGTGCTAGACGCTATGCCAACTAAGTCACGGAAAGAACCTACAGTGCTGCCACGTCCATGTAACCAGAGAAAATAAGTGGATCGTTGTGGAAGTGCATTGTTACACTTGGGATCTAAAGGCGATTGCATCGATGCGATCGCGCGTTTATATCGATGCAGTCGCGCGTTTGCATCGATGTAACGCATATAAATCGCAATCGCGAGTTTCACGAACGCGCGTTTGCATCGCCGCTAAAAGTCCAACATAACCTGTGTAACCACTCTTAGGAATGTCAGATATAGTACATCACTTTCACCGCACCAATTTCCGTGTCACTAATAAATTTTGTTTTCCTGATGCTAATCTATACGTATTAAGAATGCGAGACAACATTTTAACCAATCTATCACTGATATGGAGCGTTGGCAGCTTAGTGAAAGACAGGTTCTATCTCAATTGAGATATTGACGGTTACGAACATTGTAGCGGCCTGTAATGCCTTTAATTTCTATGTTTTACATACAGTTATGATTTTTAAGCAATATCTCTCGCTAAGAGTGCAAGAAAACATAATGAAAAAGGGTTACTGCTTTGGAAAACGTGTTGAGTCTAAATTAGGGCCTAAACCTTGTTCTTAAAGGAGACACGTGTCCAACGATAATCACTGCTATATGTACCTATAACTTGTATTGATCGTGTTTCGCCGGAAAATGGGGGACACAGTGTCAAAAATGGTTCGATCTCAATGTTTGATGTTTCTTACCCAAGTAAGTAAAGTTGCAAGATGTCGTCATCTAAACCTGATAATATATCAGAAGTGCATTTATAGAAATAAAAGAAAGCGTGAGCGAGTAACATAAAAATACTTACAAATTGGAGGACACTCTGAAAGCTTGACACAATGTCCAGTGTCATTCCTGACTTGGTCTTCGGGGCAGTAGCAACCAGTTCTGCAGATGCTAATGCAGTCAGGGACTGGGTTACGGCAAGTACGCTGGCAGCTTCCGCAAGACAGGAACCGCTCGTTCGGACGGCATGTCATGCTTACTTGGCCTGCATTTTTTTTTAATTATTGAAATGTTTACTATAGATGTCTAACCTCTTAAGGAATACCTATGCTATAATGGTATATGTATTAAGTACTGATACGACGTGGTTGAAATTTACTAGGAAATAAGCGAGTTGAACATTGACTTACAAATAAATGGACGACGGGTCTAATACAAAAACCACGAAAAAAATGTCCCAAGTCAACCTATTTAAACGTAGTGACATGTAAAGGAATATGAAAAAGCTAAAACGTTGAATTTAAATTGTAATGTCATCGCAGTACTGTCTAATTTTGCTTGCTTCGCTGTCAGTCGAACAAACGAAGACTAAAGCGTGAATGACGCTCTGTATTCGATTTTAACGCCTTATAAGTTCGGACACTTTTTAGCGCGGACCCGACGTCCATATAATTGTAAGTCAATGGAGTTGAATCTAAAAGATAGAACTCCCGTAATTAAGTGGCTGAATTTTGACGGGTAGGTATTTCTTTTAGAGATTCACCATACAAGTGTCTTTCGAGCGTCAGCGTCTTGCCAACGCACGCACAGCGTCGACACGACATCCGCACGGCGGTGACGCTGTATAATGCCGAACGTAGGGTATAGGGATATTCGTTGAACATCGATGTGTCGAATCCATTCGATGTTTATCGTGCGATACATAGGATTGATTCGATATTTTGACAAGTAGAAATTCTGTTCGATGCATCGTTATTTTTGAATAAAAACATCGAATCATCGAAAACACTAACTCTGGCGTGCCTCTGTTTTTCAATTCGATATTGTAAGTAATTTAGAGTTTGTTTTAATTGTATTTATAATCCTAGTTTATTTCATTCTTCTGTGAATGAATAATTGAATATGTATCGAATTTATTTGTCTATTTTAGACAGTTTATTATATTTATTATAATCGCAAAAAAACATTCCTACAAGGAATTGTTTTTGCGGAAAAATATTTCTATTAAGTACTTTGCAGTTTTTTTCCACCTATAAATGTATGTCTTAAGGGTGCAATTTTTTTTTAAGTTTCTGGCTTTTCTTGACCAGTACCACTAAACTAACATAAAAGTATCATAAAATTAAACACGTCACTACACCGACAGACACCACTCTATTGGTACAGTGTTACTCTGTGTTCACTGTTAAACTAAGAAAAACAAAAAGTATTCGATGTTGAAAAAAACATTGATGTTTTAAAGCGATGCATCGAAAAACGTCGATGCAAGGTTTCGATGTTTTACATCGAATGAAGACATCGTTGTATTTTCTAAGTGGACACCCGTAGTTGGGTATACGCCGCGCTGGCGTTGCGACGACGCCGCCGCACAGACGTCGTGTCCACGCTGCGCGTGCGTTGGCAAGACGCTGATGCTCGAAAGACACTAGTGTGGAGGGTCTCTAAGCTAAAGACAAATATTTTCCTCAGTAGTTAAAAGACGTGATTACTTAATATCGTACCTTTGGTATAATAAAACCACGTGAAAAGTGCTTTTATCACGAGTCATAAAAATAATACGGTCCATATGAAACGAATTATGTTTAGATGTGAAATTTTATAACTCTCCTATTTGAGGGTTAAACGTTATCGACTAAATTTTTTTGTGGCAGTAGAGTTTCGTGTGAAAGAGTTGGTCCAGGGAAGTACGACCATCTTGTCTATATCTGCCGCCAAGCAGTAACCAACTTATGTCTAAGAGTAATGGGCGCAGTGGCAGTATTCCTCAGATCTTTGCGATTTAAACTATGTTGGCGCGCAGATTCGCACGTTGCACAGTATCCGTGAAGGTGACACTTGTCAAGGCATTCTGCCAATGCTTCTATACGTGTAATCTGTGGGTCAACTTTACGCAGAAGACAATCAACGCCCTGCGCGTTCAGTGCAACAACGCGTTCAGGGTTTTATTGGGTTTGCCACGGTACTGCAGCGCATCAGGCATGTTCGCGAATGCCCACACGGATGGTTTCCATGCTATCCTTAGAAAGAGAGCTGCCTCATTAATAAGTCGTATCCGTTGCGGCACGAATGAGATTCTGCGCGTTGTGGCTGGTAGAGTGGTTTGCCCGATCATGCTACATTGCATGAAACTGCATTTAAAACCATGTCGATGATTTATTTGATATTTAATTTAATTTGTTTAATTATTCTATGTTTTTAGGTTGCCTTTTGTTTATTTTAATGTGTGTAAACCTATTGAATTATCTAAGCTAATATTATAACTGTAAAATATGGACTGTAGTTGTCTGAGAATAAATGATTTTTGATTTGATTTGATTTTGTAATCTCCGTGGACAGGCGTGACAGGAACCACCAGGTTCACGACTTGTTCGTCCCGACATGCAAACATAAAAAAGAGAAAAAGACTTTGTTTTAAAGTACCATCCCAGTTCACATAACTCCCTTTTTAAATACATATAATTTACTAGGTACGAAAAACAGATATATTTTAAAACTTAACAGTCAATACGTGGCTTCATATGAATTGATTTGTAATGTATATGTTTCAATAAAAAAGATGTATCAAGATTGTTTACATTTATTTATTTACCTAAACAAATGGACTATAAATAAAAAAAAGGCTAATGAGGTTCAATGTCCTGAAAAACTTTTAGTCACAAAATAGAAACGTTAAAAATGATTTATAAATGTTTTTTAGTTAAAATGTATTAAATAGCGTTACATACATTTATGTCAGCATTGATTTTATTTCATGTAGCATGTATGTGGGTGCATTTTTCACCAATATTAAAAATACTAATTCTCCTCAAGTGACTTTGGTCACTTTTTCCAGGACTCTTCATACATAGTATTCTTGCAAATGCATTGTAGTACGTACCCATAACTTTAATTCAATCGTTACGCCAATAACTTTGTATTATTCACATAATTTTCTACCTCGCATTAATTCATAAACGAGAGCATAAGACGTTATCAGACAATCTCTAATTCCTTCCCTCGTTTCTCTCACGATATCCGACGCAATCGCCTTGTTATTTGTAAACAGGTCCGTCTGTCCGTCTATGCACGGTCGGGTGGCGAAGTTACAAACAATGAAAGATTATTCTTCTGTTTACTTAATTTGACTCTTCCACAACTTGATTGAGTCGCCATTATCCGTTTTATGGAAAATGACGAAATTGTTTTTGTTTGTAGAATAAGTATTTCCAGGAATTTCCGGGAATTTCCATTTGCAGAACGATATAATACAATTCAGTACATTCCACTTTTGTTAATTGTATTTTGGTTGTGAATAGTCCGTTGTTCATTCAACGTCGTCATTGCAATTTTTCTAGATTACTGAGCCCATACACAAATAAAGTACAATGTGAATTGTACTTTTTTGCAAATTCCGAATTTGAGCTATGTGAACCCTACTCCGACGTATTATTTTTCTCTTCGATACTAGAGTGTATTTTTTTAAATTTCTTTCAGGAAACAAACAAAAAAAAATTGATAAACATACAGACCTAGAGTTCAACAAAAACTAAGTTAAGATAATGAGCGAAACAATATTACATGCAAAAAAGAAAAAGAAAAACAGGTATATAAAAAAATTAGAAAAATTAAAAACTTAAGTCAAAGCCAAAGTCAAAGATTATTTATTCTATAGGTAAAATAAATTTACACTTGAAAACGTCACATTTAAGCTACTGCTCGTTCACTACGCTGACCTCCCTGAGAAGAACGAGCAAGAAACTCTAGGGATTGCTCTTTTCAAATAAACTTAAATGCTATGGAATACACTTTGAATCAAATTTGTGTGGATTCTGGAGCCATGTCGTCTTTCCATACATCTTTATCTAACACGTAGTCTTCAATTTTGTAATATGATTTTTCGATCAAAATATTTTTAATGTAGTTTTTAAACTTAGGAAATGATAAACTTAATATATGCTCCGGAATCTTATTGTAAAAACGTATACAGTTCCCCATAAAAGAGTTGTTTACCTTGGTTAAACGAAATCGTGGTACCATGAGTTTGGACTTAGCTCTAAGGTTAATATTATGGATATCTTCTTTCTTATTGAAATTATGTATATTTTTACGGGCATATAAAATATTTTAGTAAATGTACTGTGATGCCACAGTCATAATACCAGTCTCCTTAAACTTTTCTCTGAGAGAAATCCGAAAGCCTAGACGGTACACAGAACGAATCGCTCGTTTTTGCAATACAAATATGGTTTGAATATCTGCCGCTTTACCCCACATGAGAATCCCGTAGGACATTATACTAAATAATTTATGCTACTTAATATACATGTACAGTCAACAGCATATCAAGCTACACATTGACGTATGTTGTTCCGTTGCACTGGAGGCGATTTTCGAACAAAACCGTACAAGTACACTGAAAAGCAATAATAGGAATAAGAAACTAAAACATTTTATACTAAGTAATTTTATCACTACATTTGCAGTTAAAATAAAGCTTCTCTTACCCTTACCCTAAGACCTCCAAAATGAAAATAGTTGCGTCTGGCCCACACACTATGTTAATAAAAATTTATAATCATACCCCTAATAGTATTAAAAATCTCCAAAAATTTACAGAGTTTTGCAAAGTATTAAAAATGTTCCTAATTCGTAAATGCTATTATAATTGAAAAGAATTTTTTGTCGATTTGCTACAATGACTTTACATTTAAAATAATTAATTAGAGATTCTAATTACCTATAATGTTTAATTGACATATGTTATTTATTAACTAAACACCTAATCATCTTAAAGTTATACCAAATTACACTAAATTTGTAAATCATTTGAACCAATTCATGTAGCAAAATGTTATTACAGTATTGCCGAATTCTTCGATGATATAAATAAATAATGTACCGAAATCTTCAAAGATTTTTAAATGTCATCACAACCTTTGAAGGGTATATAATGTACGCGTTAGTATGTTCCTATGCACTAATTTACAATTTAGAGTTTAAAATGCAAATAAATAAATTGAATTTTGATAAATAGATAGATATGAATATTATAAGACTTAAACAGTTGTATATGAAACTCTAATTTATATTACCATGGTTAAAATATGTACTATGTCATAAGTGTATTTTGCTACGCCCTTACAGGGTCTAACATGTAGTTCCTACCATAGTTCTAAGTTTGTGTACACTTAAGACTATATGTGAAATGCAAATAAATAAATAAATAAATAAACCTTGTGAAGAAATCCCAATATGTCTATATGACTTAAATTTTCATTATAGAAATCCAAAGAGCGCCTAAAGAAACCATTTCTGTAGGAGTTTGCCCCAGTATGTTTACAACAAAAAGTAGCTTTAGAGCGCATGGTGACGCGAGAAGGAACTTTAAGGCCAATTTTTTATATAAGATCGGCGAATCGACATAATTATTTAATAGTTTGTACAAGAAAAACGAATCAGTAAAGTGACTCCTATTGTGTAAGAATGGAACTTTAAATTCTTTGCATGAAGTGTCATGTAGGTTAACGTACTATGCACCGGTCCGATAAACAAAGGTTCTTGATAAACTTTTTCTGCACTTTTTCTAAACCATCAACATGTACTTTATAACGAGGGTTCCAAACTAGAGTTTCAAATTCTAAGATAAAAAATTTAAAAGTAAGAGCGTTACGGAAATGCTGAGAGACACGTATAATAAAACCCAACAATTTAAAGGATTTGGAGATAACATTTTCGATATGATAATTAAAATTTAATTTAGTGTGAAGGATAATAATACCAAGATCTCTAACGTGATTAACGCGTTTGATTATGGTGCCATTAAAACTATAATTAAATAGAAAGGGTTGTTTTTTTCTTGTAAAGGTAATGATATGACATTTGGAAGGATTGAGGTGTAGTTCGTTGTTAGAATGTCGAAAATTCACCAAGTCCCTTTGTAAATCAAGAGAATCAATGTTTCCAGCAATGATTTTAAAGATTTTGGTATGGTCGACATAGAATAAGTGAGAATTAACAGAAATGCTATTGTAATCAGTAATGTAAAATGTGAAAGCAACAGCCAGAAATAGAAATAGAAAATAGAAAAAAATATAATTATCTAGCTTTTTGTGAAATTGCATGCCTATTTTTACACGTATTGATTTGTAAAGTAAATGTTTCAATAAAAAGATGTTTCCAGATCCTACCAACAGATTGTTTACATTTATTTAAAAGAAAATAAATGTAATTTACATAAGTCATATCAAGATTTGAAACCAAGAATCAAGATAGCAAGATTCAGTAGGTTAGGTAGGCTATGAAGGTAGGAATAGCTCCTCTCCTTCCTTCCTAGCGAGATGAGCCCGGAAACGGGTAGGCACCGCTGGGTTTTGAAATAATCTTCAAGACCCAGCGCATGGTGCAGAGACGGGTGCCGCGGAGTTTTAATGAGTAGGAGTCCCACATAACCTTCCGTCTGTATCCCCAGGCGGAAGGTATTCCGACCGGGAGCGCCGCCTCGCGGTCAGCGCACGCGGGACCGGTGGAAAGAGGGCTTGGCGGATCCCTCCTATGGATCTCGTACCATAGGGGCGATCCGTGCTGTCCTCGTAGAGTGGGGGAGCCGGTCCCACGGGCCACTGTCGTACCACCTTGTGCACAAGGTGGCGAGGAGGGAACCGTCCCCGTCGTGGCACGAGAGGACGAGAGAGGTGTGCAGCCGGTAGGATGAGCAGCGCCGTACTCTAACGGGGATAATAGGGCGGGACCTCTGGCTGCCGGGTGTGGTTGCCGCCATGCTCGATAGCGAGGAGTCCTAGGAGGCGGTGGCCTCCTTTTGCGGAGAGGCTATGTCGCAAAAGGAGGTTGCGGAGCGGGTGCTCACCCGTTTCGGCGCAGACGTACGGGGAGAAGGCGAAGGCAGTTTGCTGCTCGCCTGATCCCCTAGTGAGGCCAGCGGGCTCTGGACAGGGACTCCGGAGCCTGCATTACACGGCCTCACTCGTATGGGGATCGGGTGTGGGCGGCCGGGCGGCGTCGTGGTGAATGTGCACCGACCCCACGGCGCTGACTCAACCGGTGGGAGGTAATCCCGGGGGGGGTTTAGTGGGTAGGTCCTCCAGTGTGGAGGGCCCACCACAGAGAGCCCCCACATAACCCCTGAGTCTCCCTGGGCTCAGGGGTATCTATGAAGATTTCCCCACGTAAAAAAAAAGGCGGAAGGTATTCATGATGGATTTCACCGCGTAAAACAAAAAAAAAGGTTTGTATATGAAAAAGCAGAAAGCAAATTCGTTTGCGTTTTCGAACATGTTTGCGAAAAACCAGGCGGTAAATATGAATGATACCTATTTGGATAAACTGGTGTTATGTTAGCTATGAATGACAATGTTATCAAAAATGAAATTATAGAATGTAAGTTTATATTAAAAGTTCGTTATATGAAGTGAATTGTTGTATTAAATAAGTTAATATGAGATAAAATTATGCCAATTGAGCGTTATGTTCAAAATATTTGTACGATATTATATTACACATACCTACTCAAAATAGTAAAAGAAAAAGTCACCAAGACTTGGCTGTGTGGTGTTAAACCTTTGCCACAACATTAATTTTTTTTTTATTTATTAAGGCTTTGGCAAAGCCATCAGCCTAAACATGAAGTTTAATTATGTTTTTGTAACTATGGCCGCCACAAAGATGATAGGCAATTTGAAGCGGCGTGTTTGGATTGACTCGGGATTCCTTAAAACGGGCCAATGCGGGTATTTTAATTCGAGATTCGTATAATTTCGCTTTTAATCTTCGATTAAGGCACAATAGCACTATCCTATTCCACTTTAAACTAGATTTCACAAAATAATTGAAAGTCAAAATAAAAACGATGCTTTTCCCTCCAAACGGTCCAGAGCGAATCCCACAACATTAATAAAGTAAAAAACTTTTTGAAATCAATTCCAAGAAATATACTTTAGGTGACAACTTAAAATTTCTTTCGAAATGTGTTCTTCAAAATGTCTACATTAAAAAAGGTAATTAATAATAATTACATAGATAACTTTTAAAATTTGTATATTCTGAACAAAATTAACACAAAATAATTAGAAGAATTTTGTTAAAGACACTTTTACATTTATGCTTTATTTGTCATTTAGAAATCAATAACTAAGTTATTAAATATATTATGATTACTTTACATCAATGAAAATTAAGCTGGACAAAGCGTTGGCCGGTTCATTATACAAGTTTACAAACACATGCTCGGGTTTTATAAATACGTTTGTTCAAGTTAAAAAAAGAACCAGAATACAGCTTGTTAATAGGAAGGTACTGATTTGTCATAGGGTATATCATATCTTTTAATCAAATTCAGTTTTAGTTCTTTGATTTCGATGCTTCCCCAATCGACTTCCGCTTAGAATACGAATTGTAGAAAACCCCGAAATTTACTCATAAAAGTGGTCCACCATTCTAGAAAATCACTCTTGGCACTATCCGGGAACTTCGCAGCTTGAGTCCCTTTAAATTTAAATTTTAATAATTTAAATTTTAAGCTTATTGGGGATGTTGTAAATTCTCCTCATGAATCATGAACATTATATATGAAACCAAATTACTTGTGGAATAGAGATAGAGAACACGTTTTGAAAGTTCAAAAAATTACCGAATGAGGCCCAATACATTTATTATTCTCGTACATAAATGAATAACTAAATATTACGTATCTGTAATTAAAAATAACCACATTATTCGCAATAACACCATTCAATATTTTTTTTAACTTTCAAATCATATATCTCAATTCCACCAGTTTTTTAGTTACGGCGTTGTGTACTACATAGGTATATGGTGAAATTTAAATAATTTCTTTTTATTATTTGTTATTTTTTTATGCATGCATTGAAAGTGAATTCGAAAATGAGGGAGATACAAAAATACTAAGTTTATTCGTTTTGTGAGTTTTCCTTCAATTTATTTTTTGTTAACTGCGTCCCTTTTCGTAAAAAAATAATAACACAAAATAAAACTTACCGGTAACGATATAAGAGAGGCAAAGCAACAAACAGACAAACAAACAACCTCTCAGCTCCATGGTCGAACGCCAAATGGCCCTGTCTCTGTGTAACCGTGACATATATCATACGATCTTAAATACATGCATGCCGCAGTCATTGTTCAGAAATGGACATATTGGAAAATGACTATTTTTTCCGTTTCCCAACCAAACATGCGCCACGGGAGTTGTTGCCCCAGATTTGGTTGATAAAATTTATCTTTTCATACCCGTCCAAAAATGTCATTCATTCTTTTTGTTCAAATCGTGGTGCATGAAAGGAACCTCCCGCAAGATATATCATTTCTTTCTTGGGCATCAATCGGCGAGGACCGTACTTCGACTGGCAAATCCTTTCATCACGAAGGCAAGCATTACAATGTATGCCATCGGTACGATAAGACGATTCAAATCAATAAAGTGGATAGAAGGCACTATAGGTTGCAGTTACATTAAATCATAAAAAAAAATTTAAGAATTGTCAATTTTACAGAAAACTCGAATTCAACACTTTGTCTGTGACATTATCTTCATAATGACGATTGTTTTCAGATAATAAGGGATTTCTTATAAATGCTTTACTTACTGAAGATGAGACAAGTTTCCAATTCAATAGAAACCTTTCTTCAAATAAAATACTGACAGATTTACTAAATAATTATACAGAAACACGCAATTGTGTAATTGTTTTGGAAAAGTACTTGATCGCGATCTCTGGTTTTAAAAAAATCGGTAAAGCACCACCAATTACAGTATTATAGTATGGGGTAATAGTACAGATCGAAACAGAGTTTTTGTAGCACAAAAGAAATGCATTAGAACAATTTGTGGAATTCCCCTGGATGAAATATGCAGACCCTTGTTTCAGAGCCTTGGTCTGTTGCTACCACCATCATTATATCGATACCTCACACGTAAGTAAGTTGTTCTAAATCAAAATATCTTTTTTCTTGCACTTTAATATATCTTCTTTTAATGTATTATAGCCATTGACATACAAATAAATGGACGACGGGTCTAATACAAAAACCACGAATAAAATGTCCCAAGTCAACCTATTCGAAATTTAAATTGTAATGTCATCGCAGTATCGCGCTGTCAGTCGAACAAATGAAGACTAAAGCGGAGTTTGGCGCTCTGTATACGATTTTAGCGCCTTACAAGTGCGGACACTTTTTAGCGCGGACCCGACGTCCTTATAATTGTAAGTCAATGATTATAGCTTTCATATTTGAAACTGAACACTGAGCGATTTCTTTACTTTTAAATATGGAATCTATATAACCTATAATATACATAAAAAAGTATATATTTCATTTAAAAAGCTAATGGTACTTTGACTTACTACAGCTTACTTGGGAGGCATCGATATATACCTATATACGAAAACACACAATTTGAACAAACCCGAATAGACTTGTACTTGACACTATTCCTATGACTGCTAAATACAGCACTGGCGTGGCGTGAATTCTCCACCGGCTTGTCTAAAATTTTCCACGTATCATCAAATATTATAAATATTTAAATAAATTTACTACATTTGTGCTCAATTTTACGTGTACAATATAATTAACCAGTGAAATAAAGTGTACTGGTATCTTGTGTGTTAATAAGTGTTGTGGTTAATTGTCGCAAGGCGCCACTTGTTAAGGCAAGTGCTTTTAATTTTGCTCCAGCTTTACTAAAGACAATTTTCACGCGTCGAAAATGTGTGTTGACATGTATAATAAGATACCACTTGAGATTAAACTATTACACTTAAGTTTATTGAAAATAAAGCTGTACAAGTAGTTAAATAAAAATATTTTTTATGATCTAAACGAAATATTTAACAGGAAATGAGATGTAAGATTTTATCTACAAGACTATCATTTTTGACCACGTTAATCTGTAACTTGACATGTTTGTGACATTTTTTTATTATTGTGTTGTGGTAGTCTGATTGTCATTATATAACTAGACATTTGCATGCTATTTAATACACGCGAAACATGCTTGTACTGGCACTGTCTCTTGTAACATCTTGTGTTATACCATGTTTTAAGCAAAGAAACGAATTATTATTACTATTATTGTAATAGCAACTATTACTTTCTTGGATAAGTGTAGAAATGGATTTTGTAGTTCCGATCATGTTTTCGCTCTAAATTTTACTGCATTTTATCGTCAACTGTTGTTGTTTGACACTTTCGTAGCAAAATGTACTGTTTTGTTATAAGAACAAAATCCAAAAGTCTATTTTCATATGTAGTGCAAAATATTGCAAGTATCTTAGTATCTTAACTAAGAATTAATCTTAATTAAGAAATATCTTGCGCAATGTATATCGCACTGTTAATACAATAATGTATTAACTCAAAAAGTGTATTTTTTTCAGAATCGATGAAAAACGAATTACTCACTTCCCGTGCAAGATTATTAAAATTTATGTTAACCTTTAAAAATGTAGGTTAAACTTTATAAGAGACAACGAAACAATTTCCTACTTGCCAAATATATTAAAAATAAAAGGAAAAAAGCTATTTCATAGGAAATGAAACTATTTCTCCGGATTTAAATCGCGTATATTTGTTCTTTCAAACAAACCGACGTTTCGGGCCCTACAGGTCCCAAGGTCACGGTTAACTGAGGTGGTACAGTCTTCAACCAGTTATGTCTAATATTAATGCAAACCACCCTATTTTTCACTATAGTTACAATAGGTATTAATTAAATACCTTATTTTTAATTTTACGAAGAATACATTCCAATTTACGCTACATTAACTTTTACAAATTATTCTATTGAATGAATTTTTATTAGGTTCAATTTATTATTAATTAATAATAGAAATTAGAATAATATATTAATTAGTACTGCAGTCTTATGTCATTGCCTTGCCTAATGGCAAGCGTCCATGTCCATAATAGTGTGCAGTGCCTGTCAGAGCTTATTATACATTATTATTATACAATGTTATTATAAGTTGCCAAGTCCCATGTGCCTGTAATTTCACCAGTGCCCTTGCCCTTCAAAACCGGATCGTAGTAATTTGATTGCAGAAATAGGACCTTAGAATAATAACGCATAGAATGATAGTTTCATATCAAACGAACTGTCACAAGTGAGGCAAAAATCAAATTCATGTAGGCTAGTTTTAGTAGTAGGTTAATTTTCGGTTTTAGTGAATATTTATATAAAAATACAAGTTGAAACGCGTTACTTCCTTGTTTAATGTGATGTTAGTATCTATTTTATGTTTGTCTGACGTATTTTTACACTCATTTACCGCACATTTCGTCATTTTTAGCTAAAATTCTGGAGCTGTTCGCGGTGCAAGTTGACCTTGAGCACTGAAGGCCCGCCCGCTCGTGTAGGCCCATTGGGCGCGCTTCAATTTGTCTCACATAGCGTGTGCGGGCTAGGTTTCTATGCGTTATTATTCTAAGGTCTGGACAAATTTTATTTATTCACAGAGCTTTACTGCTATGTAAAATGTAGTGGTATTGTGTAATAAACTGGTTGCCGCAACTCCACATCGTAGTTATTACTATGGTAATATTTAATGGAAATCAATATTTGTTTTAAAGTCAAACCAATGAAACGAAACAAAAACTGTTGAACAATATTTTTTTTATTCAATTATTAAAATAAACAACAGTATAGTCGACATCTTATGTTCATTATACCATTATAAAATAACAATGCAATAACAATAAAATATTTAATTATATTATTAGAGATCGGCATTTCAGAAAGATGACTTATGTATGTACATACATAGAGGATAAGACATTCGTCTTTATTCTCGGAATGATTAAAAATTTAAATTTTTTTTCTAAGCGTCCGATATTTGTGTTAATAATTATAACAAACTAGTGGAGTAATTTCACAAAAATAATTGAATTGTTGAATGAAGAGAAAACACTTAATTACAGTGAATAGCGACATCACTAGCCAAGGCTGGTAGCTGTTAAGGTGCCTAACGGGGTGACGAAATACTTTCATTCATGCTACGGCTGAAAAGTCGTTAAAAACCAGATACAAAGATCCGACAACAAGCACATAGAGAAATTCGTGAAGTCGGTCCGAATCTGGTCGGATCGAAGGAATTTTAACTATTTTATATTTTTGTATTAATAATTACAAGAAACTAGTGCAGTAAATTGACAAAAAAATTAAATATCGTGGTGGTGAAAGATCCTGATGTTCAATAAAAACAACTTAAAAGAAAAGAAATTACATATTTTAACTTAAAATTACAAAACTTTACTTTTAGATACGATGTCGTAGTGAAGTAGCTAATGCACACGCTGTCACATTTTGCGGAACAATACACTCGTATACCCAAAATATTGCATTGTTTTCTTCAAAGTCAAAATAAAAAGTTAGTCTTTTGTCCTCTTTATTATTAATTTGTTTTGATTTCCTTGTAATGTAGGTTTGTCGAGTGTTCGGGGTTGACTTTGCATTCTTGTGAATTTCGTAAATATTTGTTGATTTTTTTTAATTTATTGAACTTTGATTTGATTGATTGATAAATTGTTAAAACTTTTACATTTTCAATTTTTTTCTGCAATGGTCATAAAATCTAATTTTTTTTACATAGGTTGACTAAAGATGTACAAAGTCGATTTTAAAAGACGTTAACATAATTTCTATTTTATGTCTAATTCTTATTTATTTAAATAAAAACATTCTCACTTTTTTGTTTCACCAAATGTGACATGTCTAACATATAGAATAAAATACCATACAATAATTTAGGAATTTCAGAGAGAGATGCTGCAAACCCGTGAATTCACGGGTTTGCAGCATCTGAACCCGGGGTCGGTTTCAATTTGCAACGTATGAGCCTAAATGCGAGGATGATCCCGGGACTTCACGCTATTTATTTGTATTTGTTTCTGGAAGTTTTGGGCCATTACATGTTTATTCAAATTGAAAATCAAATTTAAAAAATTTAATTCAGAACATGTCCATACTATGTATATTAGTTACAAAAACTTAAAGGCTACATTAGTATAGAAAATTGTTATCATTATTTTTAAATACATCATTATTCCTCTGA